GTATGTGGAAGGTGGTTTTCGGGAATTCCAGGCTAGTACACTGAACTACATATGGACAGGTCTTGCATACAGGTCTGTGGCAAGAGACCGTGCCGAGGTGGGACTCTGAGGCAGGACGTAACCCTGAGGTTATGGTCGTGCATGTAGGCCACTAGGGGAGGCTCGGGTAAAATCTTGCTGGTGGTAGGGCCAGCAACATTAAGACACACTCACACATATAGCTCTTCTTTGAGAACTTCAACAACAGATGCATTGATGCCAATGATTTTCTGTTCAAAAGTGCAGGGAATTAATGGCAGCAGCCAAAAACTGCCACAGCAGTTTGGCATAAAACAGAAAATGGTACAGTATTGATATAATGGGCACACAATGTCACTTCTGATCACATATTAGATAAGCCGCTTAATATATGAGTGTGTGTTCGTGCGCACGCGTTTTAAATACATTTTAACGGATTTTAAATGGTAAATTTAAAAATTGGTACCTGTGCTATTTTCATAGTTTTCAAAAATAATTCTGTACTATTCCCCAACAAATGTCGACAGCCCTGCCCAGGAGTTCAGAGTCAAACAAAACACGATGCGCAGACAGTTAGCGTTGGAAGACACCAAACATGCCCCTCCTGTTAGCAACTAAATTTAGCCGAGCGTTATAGTATCTCTCCGTATGAATAGCAGTGTACGAGCAAAGAAGTGAGTAATCCAAGAATGCATACGTGGCACGCAAGAATGGAATTGAAAGCTCCGCCTCATCCGTTCTGTTACGTTTAAATCTTTCCCTACTGCTGTTTCTTCTGAAGCAGCAGCAGCAGCAGCTTTTTCTTCTTCTTCTTCTTCTACTTCTTCTTCTTCTTCTTCTTCTTCTTCTTCTTCTTCTTCTTCTTCTTCTTCTTCTTCTTCTTCTTCTTCTTCTTCTTCTTCTTCTTCTTTTCCGCCTCCTCCACCTCCTCCTCCTTCTTCTTCTTCTTCTTCTCCTTCTTCTTCTTCTTCTTCTTCTTCTTCTTCTTCTTCTTCTTCTTCTTCTTCTTCTTCTTCTTCTTCTTCTTCTTCTTCTTCTTCTTCTTCTTCTTCTTCTTCTTCTTCTTCTTTTTCTTCTTCTTCTTCTTCTTCTTCCTCTTCTTCTTGTTATCACATACCTAATGTTTACACCGACAGACCAGTTCTCGCTTAAGAGCAGACTAATAGTTAATTGCTGCGCACCTCTGGCTGGTAAACTACTTTATGATAAAGCGCACGCAATGACTAGGATCTCATGGTACAAATGGACATGCAAAATAACACTGGCACCTCTCCGTCTTTCCGGACAATAATTTTCCATTGTACTGGAATAAGAATGTTAAATTAAGAATTGAAATCACAGCACTCGGCACACTCAAATAATCGCTCCATCCACATCTTCATTAGCAAACGAAGATCTCCCTTTGCAATGGTACCAGTAACTGTCTGATTGTATATACGTCTCGCCTTTCCCTTGAGTGTTGAGCGTCGGCCAGATCCCCTGGCAACTCCTCGCAGTGCCGTTCTCCTCAGAAGTAAGAGGTATCACAACCTATGGCTATAGCGAGTGTGACTAGCAAGAGCAGACCGAGTTAAGAAGAATCTTCAATAACAGTACATACAATTTAATGATCAATGTTGGCATGTCATGTCTTTGACACGCTTTTTCTCAGACGCTCAACTCTGAATCTGTCTGCAAACCTTTTCTCTATTGTCCCGCTTTCCTTCCTAACCACCCAACCTTCCTACATCTAACATCCTATTGATGTGAATCAACTGCACTTTTCGCTTCCTGGGAAACTGAAATATTTGGCCATCGTTTTGTCAAATAAAGAAATAAAAACATACATAAATTAATTGAACAGAAAAAAAAGTAAGTAACAGGTCCGTGTGTTAATGGGACTCACAAGGGATAGAAAGAAAACTGGTATTGTAATTTGTCAAGCATGTCGCAAGGAGCTCCTTAATTTTGGTGCGAGACTATCTCAGCCCGCAGACAAATTCAGCGGCACAATCAGAATAGTGATGGGTTTTTTGTGCGTTGGCAGCAGTGTTGCCACTTTTCTTCGACAAAAAATATCCAAAACGATGTCATAAAATATCTAAAAAGATCTAAATCTGCATGGAAAAGATCTAGAATAAAACATCCAAATTGAAAAAGTCAAAAATTACATAGCTTTTCTTATGACTTACCCTACATAATCATGTCCTCACCTTCACTGATGTCTGCCTCACAAGATCCACAGGATAAACTTAGCTTGGATAATGAAGTTGAAGCTTCAGATCCAAAATGACCCTGGTATGCTTTAGCTGAATTTTAATGGCACGATAGCAATTAAGAGGTCAAATTTCATCCTATTTTTTAAGTTAGATTTGATATAATTCCTAGCACTGAAAACTCTTTCTACGTCAGCATTTGAGTGGGGTAGTATCATGGCAGACATGGCACTTGAAAGAGCTTACAGAATGGACTTTTTGATGAGGCATCTTTAAATTGTCTCACTTCACTCCAAAAACGCTTTAGTTTCTGTTTTGTTTGTCTATTCAGCTAACTTTATTTTGGTTAACTGATATTCTGCTTCCGCGACACTATTATCAGTAGCCCCTAAAAATTTCATAACTTTACAATATTTAGGTATATTGGCTGAAGTATGTTGCTCACAGAAAAAAGTGAAATATTTTTCAAAAACATCTAGATTTTCAGGAAGTCTCTGCTTCATTAATGAGATAAGGAAATCTTGAGTTTTTTCTTAAGTTGTTCTCTTCATTCTCTGTTTACAGTCCTTTTGTTTTTAAATCATAAATTTTTGATTCAATTTAATATCCAAGGTGTGGCTTAGGAGCCAAATAGCTCTCTATAGTGCAAGTGAGCAAATCAGCTTTAAAAGTTGGCAACACCAGTCTTTTACCGAGTGAAATAGCAAGGTGAGATCATCAAGTAATTTAACTTTATCAACAAGTTTAGATTCGAACAGTTTATTAACTTTTTGCACTTCCATTAGAATAGGTTATAAAAAGAAAATGAATGACAAATTTTTTTCATCACTGTACATTCCATATAGTATTTCAGCTGTGTAGCACTTTTCACTTTGTCTTGTCATTTCAAAGTGTGTCTTAAACTTCAGCCATTGCTTCATAATTCTTTCAACAGCTGGTTAAATTGATAACCATCTAGTTTTGCAATCTGACAGAATTTTCGGTGGTGTGGAACCATCATTCAAGGCTGTATATAATGTATTGTATTGCTGTTGTCTGACAAATGATTTGGAAAACCAGTAAAGTGTTTCAGCAATAAGGTATTCCAAATTTCTTGGTAAATATTTAGATGAAGCATGTGATGATGCTAGCTGCAATGAATGACGCATACATTTTATAAGTATTAACGATGGGTTAGCTTCCATCAACTTGGCATAAACGTCATTGTTTATACCAACCATCACTGAGGCATTATCAGTACCAATTACAGCCAAATTCTTCAAGCCTAACTGTTTGCTGATTAAAAGGTCCTTTCTACATCACACTTTTCAAATTGAACTAGTCCAAGATTTTTTACAAATCGATCAAATGGTCACAGTTTGAAATTGCGCAGTGACAAATTAAAACATTGCGACTGATACTTCAACTTTTGATGATTCATTTATCAGTATAGTTCTGAAAACAGATGTCAGCAGTGTAATATCTTTAAATGAAACTGCAGTTTTATGCTTTTTTTAGTCTCTGCATGACTCTTTGAGTTTTGTATTTTCGCTTTAATTTCACACTTGCAGTACTTACAACAAGCTTTGGTCATATCCCCAGTTTTTAATTTTGTCATCATGCAACCACTGTTTCCAAATTTTTTTCTCATACTTTACTTTTGGTATGTTGAAAAGTTTTTTTTCAAAGTGAAAGCCACATAAGAAGGTAAGTAATTTTTTTTTTAATCACATGAAAAAGAAACGCAAAGTCAGCACAGTGAGGATACGGTTGAAACAAAGTTAGTATAAGTGAGTGACTTTCTTCCCCACTAGGACATCACACAAGCGAAAAACACCTGATGACACAACGTGCCACCATGTGGATGAGGATCACCGTGGAGAGGTCCCAGAAACCGCGTTCAGACATTTGGCCATTTTTATGGCCTGCCTATATTGCGGCCCCTGGCAAAAGCCAGAGTGGGGCTTCAAATAACAAAAAATTACGTCCTGGAAAGGACGTAAGGATTCGAAGCTATCGACACAAAGTTAGTATGCTTTACGCGCGTTTTTATTAATCAGTACCGGGTCTGCCAGATATTTGTGCATTGACCCCAGTGAGAGTTCAAAGTTTAAGTAATGGCAGTTGTCACAATGTACGTGCCAGACCAAAACAAAAATATTGTAGTAAATATTTTACACAGTAATTATTAAACTGACAATGAAAGAAAAAAAAATCTATAAAATATCTAACTCATATGAAAAGAATATAGAAAAATATTTACGATCTAAACGTCAAAAACAGTATCTAAATGCAATGAAAAAGATCTAAATTTGGATATAAAAGATCCAAAGTGGCAACACTGGTTGGCAGACGTTCTGTGCACTTTAGGAAGAAGCGAAAAATAAGAAGAAAAAGATGAAGAAGAAGCGGGAGTAGAAACACCAGAAGGAGAGGAAAATGATAATAATAATAAATAATAACGTGAAGGCGGAAAAAAATGGGGGAGGGGGGGGGGGACGCGAGAAGAATGAAACACACACAAAAAGAAGATGAACAAGCAGAAGAAGGAGGAAGAGGAGGCAGTAAAACAGGAGGGTGGCGAGGAGAAGAATTTAGTAATTAATAGGAATTTACGTCCATTGGTGAGGAATGAAGACAAAGGCCACACACACACACACACAGAGAGAGAGAGAGAGAGAGAGAGAGAGAGAGAGAGAGAAAGAGAGAGAGAGAGAGGACACAACCACGAGAGCAGTACGAACTCACAGAGACGCATCAAAACCAACGCCTGTCGGTCTGACAATGTTTTGATTAGAGGCAGCTTACCAGTAATAAGTACGGTCCGGCCGTCCATCCGGTTCTTACTTGGATTATTCACGGAATACCGGATGTACATTCTGATGAGGAAAATCACCAGGATCAGAGAAGAAATGATGACAGTAATCATCAGAAGCGGAAAAACATCCTCAACAACATCCTCTAGCTCATCGATGTTCTCAGCCAACTCTTCAACTTTCAGCCTCTGCTTCATATCTTCCGCCATCTTAGCATGCTGCTGCGGGTTGACTTTCGGTTGGGGGACTACTTTGGCTTTCTTGTGCATGATGATTGAGGCGGCCTTAGGTCAGGCTGTTGGTAAATCTGATTTCCCCAATAATTCTGTCTCCAGGACTGTAGCGTTGGAGCCGTGGGCACAGATGTGTAGTCTTCACTACCGATGTCGAAATTGGCGTGCTTAAATTCAGTCTCAATTTGAAACAGTACAAATAGTTAGCGACCACGTCATGTAAATGAACTGTTGGCTGTACAAGTCTGGATTCTGACTCTGGCCTAAAAAAACAACAACAACGGGGTTACTTAAATCAATGATTATACTATCATAATACACAAAAGACAGAATAAATGATAATAACGAGACAGGAAAAGGGATAAACCTCGGCCACATACAAGTCGATAACATGAAAATCAAACGAACGGAAACAGATAAGTACTTGTGTGCACACTTCAACTGCTTCAACATGCTGAGAGAAAAAAATACAAAATAGAATACAGTTTGGAAATAAAGTATACTATGCCCTTCAACATCTACTAAAGTCAAAGACTGTTTCTCGCAACACCAAGATTAAAATATTTAAAAACGTTGATAAGACCATCGTTTTGTTTGTTTCTGGAACTTGGAGCACAACTAAAAGAGATAAAGCCTTATTATACATGTTCAAAAAGAGACATTACGTCGGTCGACTCTTTGGACACACCAGGGATGCAAACAACGGGGAATGGAGAGTGAGAAGCAACAACGAAATTCATAATTTGTTAAAATACATTTTCAAAAACAGACATTACGTCGGTCGACTCTTTGGACACACCAGGGATGCAAACAACGGGGAATGGAGAGTGAGAAGCAACAACGAAATTCATAATTTGTTAAAATACATGTTCAAAAAACAGACATTACGTCGGTCGACTCTTTGGACACACCAGGGATGCAAACAACGGGGAATGGAGAGTGAGAAGCAACAACGAAATTCATAATTTGTTAAAATACATGTTCAAAAACAGACATTACGTCGGTCGACTCTTTGGACACACCAGGGATGCAAACAACGGGGAATGGAGAGTGAGAAGCAACAACGAAATTCATAATTTGTTAAAAATACATGTTCAAAAACAGACATTACGTCGGTCGACTCTTTGGACACACCAGGGATGCAAACAACGGGGAATGGAGAGTGAGAAGCAACAACGAAATTCATAATTTGTTAAAATACATGTTCAAAAACAGACATTACGTCGGTCGACTCTTTGGACACACCAGGGATGCAAACAACGGGGAATGGAGAGTGAGAAGCAACAACGAAATTCATAATTTGTTAAAATACATGTTCAAAAACAGACATTACGTCGGTCGACTCTTTGGACACACCAGGGATGCAAACAACGGGGAATGGAGAGTGAGAAGCAACAACGAAATTCATAATTTGTTAAAATACATGTTCAAAAACAGACATTACGTCGGTCGACTCTTTGGACACACCAGGGATGCAAACAACGGGGAATGGAGAGTGAGAAGCAACAACGAAATTCATAATTTTGTTAAAATACATTTTCAAAAACAGACATTACGTCGGTCGACTCTTTGGACACACCAGGGATGCAAACAACGGGGAATGGAGAGTGAGAAGCAACAACGAAATTCATAATTTGTTAAAATACATGTTCAAAAACAGACATTACGTCGGTCGACTCTTTGGACACACCAGGGATGCAAACAACGGGGAATGGAGAGTGAGAAGCAACAACGAAATTCATAATTTGTTAAAATACATGTTCAAAAACAGACATTACGTCGGTCGACTCTTTGGACACATCAGGGATGCAAGCAACGGGGAATGGAGAGTGAGAAGCAACAACGAAATTCATAATTTGTTAAAATACATGTTCAAAAACAGACATTACGTCGGTCGACTCTTTGGACACACCAGGGATGCAAACAACGGGGAATGGAGAGTGAGAAGCAACAACGAAATTCATAATTTGTTAAAATACATGTTCAAAAACAGACATTACGTCGGTCGACTCTTTGGACACATCAGGGATGCAAACAACGGGGAATGGAGAGTGAGAAGCAACAACGAAATTCATAATTTGTTAAAATACATGTTCAAAAAACAGACATTACGTCGGTCGACTCTTTGGACACACCAGGGATGCAAACAACGGGGAATGGAGAGTGAGAAGCAACAACGAAATTCATAATTTGTTAAAATACATGTTCAAAAACAGACATTACGTCGGTCGACTCTTTGGACACATCAGGGATGCAAACAACGGGGAATGGAGAGTGAGAAGCAACAACGAAATTCATAATTTGTTAAAATACATTTTCAAAAACAGACATTACGTCGGTCGACTCTTTGGACACATCAGGGATGCAAACAACGGGGAATGGAGAGTGAGAAGCAACAACGAAATTCATAATTTGTTAAAATACATTTTCAAAAACAGACATTACGTCGGTCGACTCTTTGGACACACCAGGGATGCAAACAACGGGGAATGGAGAGTGAGAAGCAACAACGAAATTCATAATTTGTTAAAATACATTTTCAAAAAACAGACATTACGTCGGTCGACTCTTTGGACACACCAGGGATGCAAACAACGGGGAATGGAGAGTGAGAAGCAACAACGAAATTCATAATTTGTTAAAATACATTTTCAAAAACAGACATTACGTCGGTCGACTCTTTGGACACACCAGGGATGCAAACAACGGGGAATGGAGAGTGAGAAGCAACAACGAAATTCATAATTTGTTAAAATACATTTTCAAAAACAGACATTACGTCGGTCGACTCTTTGGACACACCAGGGATGCAAACAACGGGGAATGGAGAGTGAGAAGCAACAACGAAATTCATAATTTGTTAAAATCACCATTGATCACTGGCATCATGGGAGCTAATAAACTGAAATAGCTGGGGCACATTGAAAGAATGTCAGAGATAAAAACTGTATACGCAAGGGAGCTGAATTGGCCGTAGACCACGAGACAGACCAAGAAGAGAGATAATGTCCAGACAAACCTACAAATACTTGGTGTCACCAACAGGAAAGAGAAGGTCAACCAAGGAGATGAGTGGAGGCTGGCGATATCTGCAGCAACGAACCTCAAGGGCCCAGAAAGCAGAAGAAGAAGAAGAAGAAAAAGAAGAAGAAGAAGAAGAAGAAGAAAGAAGAAGAAAAAGAAGAAGAAAAGAAGAAGAAGAAGAAGAAGAAGAAGAAGAAGAAGAAGAAGAAGAAGAAGAAGAAGAAGAAGAAGAAGAAGAAGAGAAGAAGAGCCAAGAGAAGAAGTAGAGAGAAGAAGATGAAAAGAAGAAGAAGCAGAAAGAAGATGAAGAAGAAGAAAGTAGTAGGAGAAGAAGAAGAAAAAAAAAGAAGAAGAAAACAAGAAGAAAAAAAAAAGAAGAAGAAGAAGAAGAAGAAGAAGAAGAAGAAGAAGAAGAAGGAGAAGAAGAAGAAGAAGAAGAAGAAGAACAAGAAGAAGAACAAGAAGAAGAAAGAAGAAGAAAGAAGAAGAAGAAGAAGAAGAAGAAGAAGAAAGAAGAAGAAAGAGGAAGAAGTAGAAGAAGAAGAAGAAGAAGAAGAAGAAGAAGAAGAAGAAGAAGAAGAAGAAGAAGAAGAAGAAGAAGAAGAAGAAGAAGAAGAAGAAGAAGAAGAAGAAGAAGAAGAAGAAGAAGAAGAAGAAGAAGAAGAAGAAAAAAAAAGAAGAAAAAGAAGAAGAGGAAAACAAAAGACAGTAAACAGCAGTCACGTTTGCCCGTGTGAGTTCCCGGGTCCCTAGGCTGCATGTAGTCGTTGGACGTAGGTGCGTTGGGGTTAGAGCCAGTTCTAGATGTTTTGGGGTCGTTAAAGGCATTAGAAAGCCGGGAAACCCAGTCTTACCACCCTCTAAAACGTTGGACTGTCCTGTGACGTCATCTGGGGTAGGATATTACGAAAGAACAGCTTTCTTCTCACCACAAGGACATTATTTATAAATTACAGGACTACGTTCACATTTTCAATACCAGCCGGTCTTACTTCCCTGCACAAAACAGTGATTGTTCTATCTCTAGTACAGCGGTTCTTAACCTGTGGGTGGCGTCCCTTTTTTGGGTAGAACACCCTATCACAGAACACATATTCATTGAAGTTGGGAAGTAGTAACGAAAATAATTGTATGATTGAGTGTCGTCACAACACGAGGAACTGCATTGAAAGGTCGCCGCATTAGGAAGGTTGATAACGTCTGCCCTAGAACCACACGCCTACCGATTGTTTATAGCAGTGTCCATATCAACACACTACTATAATCAACACGACTATTTTGGATATTCCGTTACACAGTGCACAGCAGAACCGGCAGTGACGCGATACTGCTGAAACAACACGGAAAGTTTACCAGGGAGTGAGCCAAAACATTTTTACAACGAAAGTTGAAGCCAAGAAAGTCTGCCAGTTAGATCAACTTTCTCCATGTTGCTAAATCTGATTTATGGCTGCGGCACGGGCGCGTGGGTTGCAAACTGTTTGGTTTTCAGAAATAAATTTAAAGTATGGATCGGCACTTACGGACGTCATCACGTTCTTTCACTTTTGCGGGATTCAGGTCCCTGTTTGTAGCATTTGCTATTGTCATTTCGTGTTAATGTCACTTGTTACCTATTAATTATTATTGATGCACACTTACACAAGGCTTAGATCCCTTGGGCGACCCTAGAAAATTAAAAGGCATTTATTTTATTTGTGTTGGGCGACCCTGAGCCTAATCTAGGGGCGGGGGGGGGGGGGTAACCCTACATAACAGATCTGACCGGTTTATTATTATCATCATCACCAAGTGCCTTACCAGCTGGCGTAGGCGTTCATGCATATTCGCAGATCTCGAGGGGGCTGCGTGGTATAGAGACATGGTGTCCGCCTCGAGTGCTAGAGTTTCCGGGTTCATTTCCAGGTAAGGGTTGGGATTTTTTCACGTGGACTTAGACTTCTAGTAATTCCCCCAGGTCTCTGGGTAGTGAGATCAGACGCCCGTGTGCATTGTTGCGCACGTAAAAAATC